CATTTTTTTAACTATTTAAAAGAAACTAAAACTAAAACAAAAGGAAAAGAATAATTACCTGGATACATAGGAGTGCTTCTCCCTCAAACTAACTCTTTTGGCGAGGTTCGGTGTTGTTAGTCCTTCGAACCGGACTACTCCTTGTGAAGTTCATTGATCAAGTATCTTGGTTTGCTCTAAAGACGAGGATTAATATGATGACGCCTCTAATGGTAATGTCACCTTCTTCCACCAAACCTGTCTTAATTTTGAGTTTTGATTTTGGTTTGACAGGCTCAGAACTTCCACTTGTAGAAATCTGGGGAATCGACTGACTCTCCCACACTTTGATTGAAATGTGTCCTGCTCATAAAGATAAGGTAGAGATCAAGTGCATAGGCTCTATTGGTAAGAAAACACCAATAGAACCAAAATTTTATTCATTCTTCTTTAACTTTAGGCACATGAAACAGATGAAGTTGATGTTATGCACTTTGTTCAATTATAACATGGGTGGTAAGATCAGAAGATTGAGCATGAATGTAGCATTTAAGTACATTTAGCCAAAAGGATACCCTTGGAAGGATTGTCTATCTATGAATAATATATCAATCTTTACATGATTATGACTATCATTTTACAGAGATAAGATGTGTAATGTTTTAGCTCATTTGGTTAAGACTATGAGATCAAGAAGGTGGTGTTGGAAACATACTAAACATGTTGAGTTAATCAGGTTGGATCAAGTAGAACTGTAACTCAAACATGTTTGTTTCTTATTTGTGTGCCTACCAGAATCAAGGAAACATTTCTTAAATGATGACAATTTACCTTAGGATGTTACCTTTGTCATTGGAGCGTGATGACACCATATGATGAAGGGTAGATGACTCGTGATGGTCCTTCCCTTTTGCTTGAAGTTTTCCTTATTCAGCTAGCCTCACAACTTGAGTCGTTCATGAGCTTCTTGTTCTCCTAGATTGCACCATTTCTTTCTCATCCTTTTGTCATACCATCTTTTTGCTCTTTGATTTTGCTATTTTGTTGGATCTTCCACCTCACCCTTTGTTTTATGCCTCAATGATTTGTTTTCATAAATGATCCCCTGTTGGTGAAGGCTTATTAGGTCCGTTGATTAAGACCTCTCCTTGTATTTAGCTTTTCCTTGCATCATCTAATCCAGGAGATGAAGATGCGACAAGTTGCATGTTCTTCTCTCGTCATCCTCTCTTTGATTTTCATTAATTCTTGGTTGACGAGATGCTGTTAATTGGAGATGCAGACTTGAGTTCCTCCATCCATGATGAATGAGCTGTGTCTTCTTTTTATAAAGTTATTGGAGTTCATCATGTGCCTTGCTTCATCTTCGATTTGAATTCATCTCATGACTTACCCAAATTAAATTGAGAGTTTCCTGCAGGGGCTAGTCCAACAAAATATCCAATATCTACTAAAGTATACTATCGGCTCAAAAATCAACCTAGACACCACGTCTAATTTGATTTAGGAAGACATTTAACCTAAGCACCATGCTTAATTTAAAAGCCTTTGGAAGTAAAATCAGTACACCTTTTGGTTCAAGAATCAAACTAGACACCTCGTATAATTTAATTCAGAAAAACAGTTTAAACTAAGCACCATGCCTAATTTAAAAGGTGTATGAAAATACTTCAAAACCTACGCATAATATAGTAAACAAAGGTAGCATGAAAGTATTGTAGAGATTTATTTAAATAGAGATAAAAGAGCATGATTGTTGTTTAGCAAATTGAGAATGATTTAAAGGTAGAGACAACCAAAATAATTTAGCAACATGTCATAAGATTTTTCAGAGAAGCCCATCCCCCATACTTGAATTTTGCAAAATAAGTTTGGATGGATGTGATATGTTGTTTGACAATTGGTTGGACATACCTTGCGTCGTCATCCTTCACTCTTTTTTTGCTTCAAACCTAGAACGGTTAGTGACAAAAATACCTGAAGGAATATTTTCACAATTATATTTCTATTCTCATTTCACAAGGGCATTTCAACAAAAGGTGAAAACTCATATTATTTCTCGGAAGTGCTTGTTTTAGGACAGAAGCTCGTCCTTGGGAAACTTTTGAATTGCACTTCTAATTGGTGAAGTGGTTTCCCCTCCAACACCAACCTTTGTGTGTCTATCTCAAGATTCATGCCAACGAGATTTGCAGTATTTATGATAAATATATGCATCTACAACTACCCTTTCAAAGTCTTTATGATCTGAAAGCACGAGGGGGTTGAAGATCTCGTGTGCGACAATGTTAGAGAGACCAATTGATTTAGGAGATTTCTCATGTGAGCATGGATTTGATGAGGTGTTAATGAAGTAGCTTCCATGCTCACTGATGTAATCTTCCTTTTCAAGCTCCAGTGTTGATTATTCATGAATGTCTATAGGTGACAACATTGTCTCCATCATTCCATGCCTATGGCATTCATTGGACGTTTTATTGTCCAAGATTTCCTATGGATTGGTGACTACATGTCGTTGGCCAGTTGATAATTGAATGTCCACCATATACCTTGTCTGGTGTTTCTCCCCTCCAAAGAAAACTCCTCCTCAAACGATCGATCCCTCATGAGAAATATAATAAAAAAAAGATAAAAAAATAGAGTTATAAAGATTTCTATAATTAACGATGATGACGACTACGGCGCATAGATGAACAACAGAGGTTTCTAGAATTAACCGTGATGACGATCATCCCAGTGTTACTTTGGTCCGTCATTCTATTTAATTGCTTTCCTACTCGCATATTTTCTTCCCTCACATCCTACTCAGTACTCGGTGGCCGCAATATATATTGGAGGCATGGAGCCAGCATATCCCTCCTTCAACCTCTCGACGCCACTAGTGCATCGACCTGACGACCCCCATACTTTCTAAGTTTACCTCAACCAGCACCTCTCATAGACATAACGCAACAGTTCGGCTACCTCATCGCGTCGACCAATCTTGGTACCGGTGCTATATATAAATCATACAATCGATTTGTAGGTATCAACCTTCCTTCCTATTTTGCTTCAATTCACCTATTGTAGCCACACTACAACAATTTTAGTAGTCCCATCTTTGATTGATCTTGCTACCCATGCCAGAATCGTAACTGGGGAAATCTTGTCTTCGGTCCCCTCCGTCTCCATGGGTGCCTACGTTCATCAACAACACTACCCTTCTACTCTTATGGCTTGTGTTTCCCCTTACCTTGGTGTGATGTCCTCTTTGTCATCTCTTCTAGATATGGAGTTGAGCAATACATATCTTAGTGCAGATCTCATGACAAGATGAGGTAACTGACGTTTTGTTTGCCAACAGGTAGTTGTAGGCGCCTACGGTCATGAAAGCAACACCACAATTCTACTCTTATGGCTCATGTCGTCTCTTCCTTACCTTGGTGTTATTTTGTCTGTCATTTCCGCTAGTGCCATTGTGCCAGCAGCCATGGGGATCTTGGAGTCGAGTGTGATGAATGCTACTATGGCATTGACTAACACATGATCTCGTTACAAGATACAGCAATCGACGTCTCTAGCAGGTATACTTGCAGGCGCCTGGGGTTATCAAAGCACACCACCCTTCAACTATTATGGCTTGTATCTCCTCCTTACCTTAGTGTGAATGTGTGATTTCTCTTTGTCATCTCCGCTAACGCCATTACGCCAGTGGCCATAGGGATCTTGGAGTCGAGCATGTGCATGCTATGATGTGTTGACCAACACAGGTCTCAGTGCAGATCTCATGGCAAGATAAAGTAATCGACGTCTCCAACAGGTACTTGCAGGCGTCTGCAATCATCAAAGCACACCACCCTTCTACTCTTATGGCTTGTATCTCCTCCTTACCTTAGTGTGACATTCTCTCTATCATCTACGCTAACGCCATTACGCCAGTGGCCATAGAGATCTTGGAGTTGAGCATGTGCATGCTACGATGCGTTGACCAACACAGATCTCAGTGTAGATCTCATGGCAAGATACGGTAACCGACGTCTCCAGCTGGTTACTTGCAGGCGCCTGCAGTCATCAAAGCACACCACCCTTCTACTCTTATGGCATATATCTCCTCCTTACCTTAGTATGACGTTCTCTTTGTCATCTCCACTAGCGCCATTACGCTAGTGGCCATAGGGGATCTTGGAGTCGAGCATGTGCATGCTACGATCCGTTGACCAACACAGATCTCAGTGCAGATCTCATGGAAAGATACGGCAACCAATGTTTTCCTCCGCCAGCAGCCCAACAGGTAGTTACAGATCCTTGTGTAATTAAGAAAATAGGTATCTTGTATAGTTTTTTGCCAGTGCCAGATTGCAACTATCCACAAGTACCATGATAGAAAAACTTATTGATTGCATTAGCTACATTCCTCTAAATCAAGCCTCTCACACACTCCCCTTAGATTGAATTCAATGCACACCCCCTATATGCACCCCAAATCTTTCTCAAAGTTGGCAATCAAAACCACGAAATCTTCTTCCAATACCACACACACTATAGACTATAGCTAGAGTATTTAGGAAGGCTAGTAAATTCGTGATTATTAATTACAAAAAAATCGACCACATGGTATGGTAGATTGTTCTGATCCAGTGTGCTTAGGGCGCAGGCCGTGCTAAACGCTCGCCCATCAGCCTCTGCCATCATCCTACCCGCAGCCCCGGCCAGTCCATGGCGTGTATATATAGATATCCATCCACACAACCCTTGGACACACAGCTCATACATACACCAACCACCACCGCCCGCCTCCTCTCCCTCTCCGAGACGAGGTGACGACGACGTCGTCCGCCTCCGCACAACCACGCCATCATCCTTGCTCGGATCGATCAGGTGCGTAATTGAATGCATGCGCTGCGTGCTCTCTTCTCTCCTTGTGTTGTCATCGTTCGTGTCGCGTCGCGTCGCGTCGTCTTTCTTCCATGCATGGCATGGGGAGATTCCTTGTCTTGGAACTGATGAAATGTTGTTGCATGGTGCTGTTATTAGCGGCGCGCATGGATCGGCAGCAGGAGGGCGACAGGAAGCGCGCGCGGCAGGGGGAGGAGGAGTCCGTGGCGGCGGCGACGGGGAGGCGGCGGCAGCAGCAGCGGGCGGCAGACGCGGTGGCGGAGGTGGCCTTCGAGGAGATGGCGCCGGCGGCGGCCGTGGCTCAGGCACCCGCGCCGGCAGCCGGCGGCGGCGAGGCCAGACCCGGGGCGGCGTGGCAGCGGCCCGAGGGGGTGTTCGATTTCCCGTGGCAGAAGTGCCGCGGCGGGCTCGGCGTGGCGAGCGGCGGCGGCGGGTGGGAGCTCCGGGACGAGTTCTTCCGCTCGCTCGTGGACGGGCGCGCCGCGGCGATCGGGGTGCCCGGCGACCGCCTCTCCGCGCCGCCCAGCAAGCGCACCCTGTTCGACGACGTGGACGCGTGGCTCGCCACGGCCGGCGACGGCGAGGTGGACCCGCTCTGGCGGTCGGTGCTGGAGGCGGGGCCCAGGCCCGCCGCGTGACGACCTACGCCAGCCAACGTGCCGATCGAGTCGACCGCCAGGCGCCCCGGGGCCCCACCTGTCGGCCGCGTCAGCAGCGGTGCGCTGGCAACAAGGATAATCTATCTCTATCTATACTAGGAAAGGAAAGGAGACAAGGGATTCTCAAGGAGACCTAGTTTGTTAGGGTTGCATTGGTCTCTTAAGTAGCTACTAGGTCGTCGCGAGTGTTATGCTTAGTTCCTTATCGTCTTCAAAAACTATCGTCAGGTTTAATTTAGCTTACAGGTCCGGATCATATCATAGGGCAAAAAGACTTTGAGCATGCATGTTCGTGGGTGTGTGTGATGACGAGTTATTGATGAAGAAACTTGGATGAAGTTAAAGAATGTCGTTCAAACATATGCTTCACTTTATCTAACAACTAATACTATTTTTTTCCCGGTTACACAGCACAACTCAATCACAACATACGCATACTAACCCATACCAATGCACGCAAACCTTATCCCTAGGAGCATATTCGAAGATTGGGTCGACAAATCCTCGAGACAGACGTTTCGGTTGACGAGAACGTTGCCTATCACTTAAAGCACGACGCCGTTAAATTGTCCTAGAATACTCGCCACTACCGAGGCTCTTGTAACCGCTAGGCTACAGGCCCTTTCGCATAACAACTCGTACATAAACGATCGGTTTGTGTGTGATGACGACAACCAGTCATTAGTTTTTTTTTAATCACAGTACGTCTGTCATTAGTTTTTTTTCTGAATCACAGTACACCTGTCAATGGGTTTTCAAAGACTACTAGATCACATTCATATCCAGGGAACGAAATAAATTTAAATGCATCATGAGTAAATTGGTTAGCGTTATTTAATGATGCATGCACTTGACTTGTTGAACTAGCCATGGGCTGGCAGAGGCTGGCACTAACCATATATCCAGTTCAGTGAAACTAACTGTTTGTTCTGTTCGGGAACTTTGTTTCTTGTTTGTATGTGCTTGAGATATGTATGCGTGCGGCGTGCGGCGTGCGGCTTGATGTTGATGAGCATATTAGCCGAAGTTTATGCAGCAGGTTCATATGATCGACAACTGAAACCTCGCTACTTTACTTGGCTATATATATGTATATATATAAAGCTTCAAGCTTCATGTGGTGCACGCAAAGGCAAGGTGGATGCATGCAAATGTATGCCAAAACCAGTTTCCGGTAACAGTCGAGTCGTATCTTTTTAAGCATAATTTGCTCAAAACTAATGCGGATCGCTAAACTGCTAACAACACACACAAACGCAATGGCTGGCAGGCCGGTGTGGAAGGAGAACGACTTCGACTTTATATTATCGTCATGCTCATTCAGGGTCTCGAGGAGACGATCAACAGGCTGCTCTCGAGAATCACGCATGCCATTTCCGCCAACTGAAACCGCGAGCGAGAAAGGCATGCGTGCACTCCGTGCGACCTTAGCCTGCACGGTGCACGCACCGGGTAAGGACATGCTTACGAATCGGACGGCGGTCGTGCTTCGTGCTTGTGGGACGGATGCAACGCTCCTCCCCTGCGTCCGGGCACGGCATGCCGGTCATGGAAAAAAAAAAAGTTACTAACAACTCAGAAAAATCTTGTGCTCGTTGGACTTGTCGATGGATGCCGTTTAGGTCCACAAATCTTTGAAAACGTATTTCTGAATCTTTAAACTTGTTAAATGGTGCACCGTAAGTATGTCCCTAAACTTGTTAAATGATGTGTCGCAGGTCTATTTTTAGACCATACCAACCGGGCGCGTTTGGTTCTCGAATGGAGAGTTAGGCTCAGCTCGTATCCCTGAGCCAGACTACCTAGAATGGAGAGTTAGGCTCGTATCCCTGAGCCAGACTACCTAGGGCTAGGCCCAGCGCATGAAGAGAGTTGTTTGGTTCACTGAGTCATTTCAGCCTGGCTACATGGAGCTGCCATTTGGTTACCTGTATATGACCGCGTCCACATCTCTCTATCTCATGCGCCATGCGCTGCTCCATCGCTCGCTCACACCACATGAGCCAGGCCTGGCAGAAATGGCCAATTGTCACGTTTCCCTGGAGCCTGGCCAGAGGGGCATTTTGCACGTCCACAACCTAGCTAGCTAGAACCAGGCAACCAAACTGGCGCTGCTTGCCACTTTTATGAACCAGGAAACCAAACGGTCTTTTAATGAAAATACCACAATTATGAATAGCATTTAAGGAGTAGGGAGGAATAAAGATTCGGAGGACTTCTCTGTTGTAATGGACAGTCTACGGGACCACACCTAACGGACAATGCCATAAGGAGAATTTGGAACTAAATAAAAGTTGTCAATATCAGAAAAAATATGTAGATATTAGAATATCCTTACCCATGGTAACGATATCATGCTTGATTCTCTCAGAACCAAAACCACCAATGCTCATCGTCTCTTTCTCAACCCACCCTAACCCCCGAGGCGGGGAGATGAATAGTGACACGACAACATTGACTTTGGAGTGGAGGAGAAATCCACAAAAAAAATTCTTGCCTAGCTACCTAGGACACAACTTGCAAATCTAAAGACCAGGAAGGACTTGGAATAATAGATCTAAGAAACTAGAACACAACACTCCTCCTTAAATTCCTTGATAAATTCTATAACCATGCTGACATCCCTTGGACAATGCTGACCTAGATTAACCTTTGCAGATCCAACACCTCACCACTTCAGGCAAGGAATCCCATGGGGTACTTCTGGTGGAAAGAGATCCTCAAGCTCATATTTGACCTCAGAAAGTTAGCAATGTGTTCTCCAAGTAAAGGCGATACATCCCTATTCTAGGAAGACATGTGGCCCATCAATATTTTCTAGGAGTGCTTTCCACAACTCTTCTCATTTGCAAAGAAGCTGAACTTCTCGGGCAGATACTTCCTGGATAACACAACTAGCTGATTTTTTAGCCTCCCTTTGTCAGCTCAAGGTTCTTAGCAACTCAACGATCTCCTTTACCTAATCCAAGAGAGAACTTGGGACCCCATGGTTCATGGCAAGTGGGAATACATTTGGGGAACTAACACCTTCAGACCAAACAAAGCATATACTCAGTTGTCAGGGATTCAACCGGTTTTTCCACTCTTCAAATGGATGCGATCAGATAGCAATAAGCCCCTCGATGAAAAGATGGAAACCCATTTCAAGGAGGACCTCGCCCTAGTGTGCATCAAGCCATCAAGGCTAAGCAGACGATCAAGGGTCCACTCAATTTGTGGCTAGAGAATTACTCTTAATGTACTTCTCTCTCTCTCTCTCTCTCTCTCTAGGTTTGTGCCTTCTTTGTAAATACTCTTTTTCTGCGTATATTAATGCAAAAAAGAAAAAGAAAAATAGGTAGGGACCTTCCCTGCTGCCCCCTCAAAAAAATCATGGCGTGGGCCAGTTCCTAGTGCGCACTTGTTCACGAAAAGCCATGGCACGACGGTGGCAAAAATGGAAGTGTCGGTCTTAGGACATTAAGCTGGCACTGCTCTTCGTCTCGGTGTTCATGTGTGGAACCACCTGAAAAAACACACTTACGGAGGCGCTTGTCTTCCACTAAACACTAAGCACTCCAAAAGTGAGCCACATCAGGCAGTTCCGTCTAGCACACCCCATGGGAGAACCCGAAAATCCATATTTTTCAACAGGATCATAAATGGGAGAATAAAGCTTACAACATTTTAGTCATTTCTTACATCACTTTTTATTCAACATCAGAGTTTAATATTTATTGTTTATAACAACAGAATATAATCATGTTATCAGAGTTGCAGCAGAAATAAAATCATTTAATGACCAAATAAACATTAACATGATGATCCGTTATATACAACACAACAGGTGATAAGTTTTTCTATTGTAAAAATATTTTGGGTGAAAGTTTTAAATAACTCTATGTCCGCAACGTTAAGGAAATTCTCGCTGAGCCCACCAGGAGGTTTCCACACACAAGTGTCAGCTCCACATGTTCCTATCACCTGCAACAGGGTAGAACAAACCCTGAGTACTCAATTGTACTCTACAAGACTTATCCGTCAGGAGGAAAGAAAATACTCCAAGGATATGCAAAGCTATCTGGCTTGTGGGTTATTCCATCTGCAGGAAGCATTACTAAAAGTGCGTCCTTATATTCAATTTTATTAGCGGTCACCATTAGTTCATTAACTAACCATTCTATAAAGCACATGTGCTACATTCAAGCAGGTGGTAAGCAATCAGACCATTTTATCATCTTTCATATTCCAGTTCTTACTATGGTGCTAGATCGTAGACAAGTCATACCGGATTACCCGATGATTCGTGAATCAATGTGCCTAGCTAGGTACCCCAAAACACACGCCCTGCTTTTACCCTAGGCACAAGCAGGATCAACCCACTACTCTCCTGTCAAGGGGTCTAGGTCTCCGTCCAAACTTGGACTCCAAGCCCCCACACCTGAGTCCCGGACTCAGTGTGGTGCTTAGACCTCCACCATCCCCGCCTCTAATCAATCAGTCTGGAAAGAGTCAGAACCCACGACAAGAGAGCAACGAGTCTTCTCTGCTCCCATAAACAAGTATGTGCTCAGGATAATAAGTCTGTGACCTGACTAGAATCCAATGCAACGGACAGTCCTTAACCGACACAGGCGGAACAAGCGCAATTCGAGCCTCGATCGAATGCCAAACCAAGTCCAGATCCAAGTACCATTCCACCCGGTCTCCAATTATCATTCATATATTTTCTATGTGATAGTAATATAACAACAACAATAATATCTTTCCTATCTCTCGCGAGTGATAGACAATCACTCGACTTCTACCGGAGTCCTGTAGCATAGCAATATATACGATCCTGTCATACTAGTAAAACTCATAGGATAAGGACATATATATATGCAAGTGGGTTTCATTTAACTCCTTAAACTTAATGCACAAGCATAAAATAAAGTGTAGAATAATAGGGGTTATGCACCGAGGCTTGTCTAGGTAAGATATAACCAAAAGTTAGTATT